TGCATCCATAAAGCTTAACATTTGATGTCCAGACGTGGCATCGACGAGTTGATCTATGCACGGGAGGGGAAAACTATCCTTCGGACAAGCTTTGTTGAGGTCTGTATAGTCGACACACATTCTCCATGAACCATTAACTTTTTTCACCATGACAATATTGGCTAACCATGCAAGATGATGTACTTCTCATATGAACTTTGCTTCAAGAAGCTTGTTGACTTCTTGTTCAATAGCTTGTAAGCGGTCTGGGGCAAAATTGCGCTTCTTTTGGATGACCTTCTCCTTTGTGCTGCCTTTGATACTTCTCCTCTTGCCGCGAGCCAACGCTCAAGAAGAACACAAGGAGTACTAACTGTGCGATGCTTTCTTCACCCGTAAACCAATGTAGAAGAAAAACGAGGGAGAGGAAAAAAGAGGGAGAACCAGAAAAAAAAATGTTAGGAAAAACACAGTTTCTTTTTTTTCTTTTTGGAGAGTGACTGCTGCAGCATTAATTGGTTGGCGGGACCCACCAAAATAAAGAATTGCTCCTCTTCCAAGAATGGGAGGCGGGAACAGTTGAAAGAGGCTGCAAGTAACTTTTATTTTTTTTTCGTAAACCGGGCTCCAACTCAACAAATCTCCCAGTTAGAGACCGGTACACAAACTACAACGTCTTCTTTCTCAAACTGATATCCTCCACTGGTGGCGTAGCCCTTTTCCTCAATTGTGTTATCCTCCACTTCTGCAACACAAGACCCCTGTCTTCAAGCTAGAAGACCAACTGAAGCTGCACGCAACTTCAGTTTCTCCAGAGTAACACCCTTTGTCAACATATCAACACGGTTCTGGCTTCCACAAATTTTCTTAAGCAACAATTGTCTGTCATCCAACAATGACAGTTTGAAGTGATACCTGATCTGAATGTGATTAGTCCTAGAATAAAATGTTAAAATGTTGGATTCCTGGTAAGGAATATGACGCTCTGACTATCACTGTAAAGTATTCCCTTCTAATCCTTCTTGCCAAATTCTTTCAAGAAGCCCTGTAGCCATATCATCTCCTTTGCAGCCTTTGACACGACTATATACTCAGTTTCTGTAGTAGACAACAAAACTGTCTTTTGCAGATTAGAGCCCCATGACACTGCAGTGCCACCAAAAGTATAAATATAGCTTGTAGTACTTTTTTTGGAATCAATGTCTCCAGCTAGATCAACATCAACATAGCCCCGTACCTCTAAACTCTTTCCTGAGAAACAAACAAGTTTCTGAAGAGCCTCTTAGGTACCTCAAGATCCACTTCACTGCTTTCTAATGTTCCTTTCTTGGATTACTCATGTATCTACTAACAATTCCCACTGCATGGGCAATATCAGTTCTGGTGCAAACCATAACATACATAAGTGAACCAATAGCTGAAGCATAAAGACCCTTACTCATATGATCTCGTTCCTCCTCTGACTTGGGTGACTGATTCTTGCTGAGTCTGAAGTGACTTCCTAAGGGTGTGCCAACTGGTTTGGCCTTATTCATATTGAACCTGCTAAGTATCTTTTTCACATACTCAGCCTAAGAGTGTCTCAACATGCCTTTGACTCTATCTGTAACAATTCTCATACCAAGGATTTGCCTTGTTGTGGTCTCCATCTGGAATCAACATTTAATGCTGAACTCGAACCTGAGACATCACCAGAATCTTTCCTGCGCACCTCCTCAACCAAAATAAAATCACGAATATCTTCAAATTTTAGTTTAGATTTACCTGCAAAATTACTGACAGACATCCTCATAGATTCCCAACTATTTGACAATGAAGCCAACATGATCAGTGCACGTATCTCATCATCAAATTCAATTTCCATAGATGATAATTGATTTGTGAAACATTTGTGAAACTATTGAAATCATTCAGGTGTTGTACAACAGACGCACCTTCCACCATCTTCAAATTGAATAACTTCTTCATCAGATATATCTTGTTATTCGCCGATGGCTTTTCATACACACCTGACAGGGCTGTCATAAGATCTGCAGCCATCCTTTCCTTGACGACGTTATGTGCAACGAACCTCGATAGAGTCAATCAAATAACCCCTAAAGCCTGTCGATCCAACATATTCTATTCAGCTTCATCCATTCTTTCAGGTATTTTCCCCAATAACGGAAGATGAATTTTCTTCCCATAGAGGTAGTCCTCTATCTGCACCTCTATCTGCATCCTCCAATAATCAAAATCTGTGCCATCGAACTTTTCGATCCCTGAAACCTTCACTTTGTTTGCAGCCATTGACTTTGATACCAGTTGTTGTGGTACATATGAAAATTTAAAATGATTGACGACGAAGTGAAAAATAGAACAAGAAAATTCACACAAAAAGAACACAAATTTACGTGGTTCGACAAATTGCATATGTCCACGGAGTTGCAGAGGATTTTATTACTTGAGGAGTTTACACCACAATGTTTCAATTTATAAGAAATACTTATCTCAACTCAAAGGAATTACAAAGTCGATATATTCCTCACCGTTGTTTCTTCCTCAAGGATTACAAGAAACTCTCTTTCTTTCTCCCTCTCTCTCACCTCTCCTTCTCTCTACTCGAGAGGGCAACAACCAAAGGACTAGGAAGTGCTACCTTTGATACTTCTCCTATTGCCGCGAGCCAACGCCCAAGAAGAACACAAGGAGTGGTAATCGTGTGATGCTTTCTTCACCCGTAAACCAACATAAAAGAAAAACGAGGGAGAGCCAGAAAAAAAATGTAAGGAAAACCACTGTGTTTCTTTTTCTTTTTTGGAGAGAAACTACTGGAGCATTAATTGGTTGGTGGGACCCACCAAAATAAAGAATTGCGCCTCTTCCAAGAATGGGAGGCGGGAACAGTTGAAAAAGGCTGCAAGCAAATTTTATTTTTTTTCGTAAACCGGACTCCACCTCAACATATATGACTTCCTTACACTTCATATTTCAAGGAGAATTGTCCTATTAATGATCACATTTGCAATATCTCCCTTTCACCTAAATTGTATTGGCACATTCAACGAGCTCGAGGAAGTACTATTGACTTATAAGTCATTATTAGTAGATGCTTTAGCTAAATAATAATACAAAGTATTTTCATTTTTCCATAAAATAAACATGTCTCATTCTTGTTCTATTTTATTATTTTGATTATTTTTAGATGCCTATTAAATTTAAGTTTTTTTTAATCACTTTCTTATGACTTAAATTTTGGCATGTGAAAATTTGAAACTCATTGGAGTAAGGTCATAATTAAACTCATACGATCTACAAGATGATTCTCAACCATTAAACCTAGGTTAAATTGGGTCAATATTGGAGAAGCTCAATTGGCATCTAATTAGTGGAAGTTAGGACATTGTCACTACTTTTCTAGACCCTAACGAGATCACAATAGATCATATGACCGGTGAATTTGTAGTGGTGTGACTAAGCCAACAAATGACTTTAATTTTTTTTTTCCTTAAACAATACATCATCAACTTACAAAAACTATTGAATTCAATAATTAGGCTTCCAAAAAGAAATGACATTTGTCAACTAAATCAATTTTTGGTTTATTATTTGAAAAAAAAAAAACAATTTAGTAGATACAACATTACACCACATGTCAGAGGAGTTATAACCTCCAATAATAACATGTATACTAACATAGCATAAGATCATCATCAAAAAGAGCATGAGATTCTTATAATCTTAATACAAGTGTCAAAAGGCAATAAATATATAAAAAGTATGTTGCTTAATTTTTAAATTATGTGTGGAGTAATACATAATTTAGAAAAAAGAACCCAGTTTACATATATTGACCAATTTCTCTACAAAATGATACATTTCAACAGTTGAAATAAAGAATTTATTTCTTCATCATCAAGATTACAAAGCAGAAGCTGTTCACAAATTTAAAACAAAAAAAACTCAAGCAAGAATCAAACTTATTTAATAATCCATCAATAAAACCTGAGAAAAAAAGAATTTTTAAAGAGAAGAAATCAGTTATCAAAATGAACATTTAGAAACAGAGAGATGCAATGTTTTCACATCGAAGCAGTAATTAAATAAAAAATAAAAAACAAAAGAGATCCTCCTCACCATCCCCCTCAATCCCCATAATTCCCTTCATTGGAATTGCAATTGCAGTTAAAGCAGGAAGAACTAATTAAGCCTTTGTCTCCTCAGCAGAAGAAGCCACCTCGCTCTTCTGCACATCTTCTTTTGTAGCTTCATCCTCATGACTTTCTGCATGGGTCTCGTCACCAGTCTTTTTGGTCTCCTCCTCAGCTTTTGGTTCTGCTGAATCTCCCTCCTGCTTGCTCTCCTCCGCTGCCACCTATCATGCCATGAATCAAATTCAAAATGAATACAAATTAGATTCATATATATTATGGAGATTAATTTGAAATGTGAGCGGATGACTGACTTGGCTGACCACAGGGGCGGCCGCTTGGACCTCAATGGCCTCGTTGGTCACCTCAGCGGTGGCGGTGGCCGTGACCTCGGCCTCGGCCTCGGCCGGGATCTCCTCTGGGGTTTGCCCATTAATGTCCTTGGGTCTGCTCGCACAGCCACCCATGGACGCTGAATTGCAGGAGGATGGGAGGAGAGAGATTATGCAGAGAATGAATGGAGGAGGAATGGAAAGGTGGAGAGGCATTGGAGTCCATTTTATATCAGTTTCTGAGGGTGGATACAAAGACGAGTTTCAATGGTTATCAGTGATTTGGAAGAGTTTCTGTTGGGTTTTGGTGGTTTGACTATTTTGTAGGAGTGAACGGACACCATTTCCAGCGGATTTGTTTTGTTATTTGTTGGCTTTGCAGAGGTTTTATATCTAGAAAATGAGTTGTTTTGCACCATATTTGAACTTCCTATGTTTTTGTTTGTGTGCGTTGGTCATGATGTCACGACTTTCAATTGTAGGGAGGCCAACATCGCAAATTCACATAAATGAATGACCATGTCAATTTATGGATGTAATTTTTTTTTTTTCATTTTTATGAGGACAGTGGTTTTCATGAGTTAATACAATGAAGAACAGCATTGGTTGCCCTAAATATATACATATATATTTCTCTTTTATATACAAGAGTCATTTACATATTACATAATTCCTATGTATTTACATATCAAGCACCGAACTTTCCTTTTTCTTTTTACGTTTATAACATTGAAATCTTTCATATGGCATAAAAAAATACAATCATGTTAATTTAGGAGAGTGAAGTGCACTTTTTTATGAATAGGTAAGTGGAATGTGAAGTTTAGGTGTTAGATATGCAAATATGTAGAGATTTAATGGTATGCATGTAAATCTTCATGTATAAAAATATGAAGTAAAATAAAATAGTGGGTATAAAACTTTTTAATTAAGAAATGGTTGGAAGTTAAAAATAAAATAGTGGGCATAGCCCAGAAACACTTTTGTTACCAAATAATTTAAGTAATGTGCGAAGTTATGGAAATATTAATAAGGTTTTCTCTCCGATTTAGAGACCCAAATTCACCACACATACTAATAAATCATTATTTTCTAGCCTAATTATCTAACCATTAAATTTTTTTTAATTTAATAAAAAATATTTTTGGAGCATATGTAGAAATGATTCCCAGATTACTTTTTATATTGATAGGAGGATTGAAAATCCATTAAAATATAAAGGTTAGTTTAAGGCTGAAATGAATTTTACATATTATAAGCCAGCCCTCATAACTTCGCTGACAAGGAAGCCTTTATGATGCTTGATGCTCTGCACTCTACCCTGCTAGACGACAAATTTTGATGGCAGTTTTCCTTCAAGATTATTATATATATATATATCAGTAAACTTCAAGCACGAAACCTTCCACTCAAGCTTATATCTTAATTTGAATAAGCAGGATAGATTTAAATCTATCCATAAAAGATAACAAGCGATATGTACAATTATCATTGTAGTCGGACCAGACCGTTTAATAACCTAATAAGATTAGTGCAGTTCACAAGTTAATCCTCATATTATATTATCATGAAGCCATTTAAAATAATTTTGTTGAAACCAATGTAACACTACACATTTAAAATTATACTGTACATGTGTCGGACACATATTAGACACCAGCACTTTTCCGACATGCTCCAACACCACAAAATATGTCCAATTTTTTTTCAAGGTTGAACATGCTCGAGACACACCTCAACAATGCATCGGACCGTAGCTTAAGATAATTTCAAGAAAAAATAAGACATGAATTAGAAAATTATAAATATATATTTAACATTAACTATAACTCATAGTTAGAACTATCAAAACGGCTCGTTGTTCGCAATCAGTCATGTTTGGCTCATTTTGACTTGAAATACTACTCATCAATTATATATATAATATAATTTCAAGAAAAGTAACAGGAAATATATGAAGGAAATATATATACATATATTGTGATGAGTAGTATTTTGAGTAGTATTTAATTGACTACAAAGCTACAAAAATTTATAATCAATTAAAAGTATTAATTAAGAAAATAAAATAAAAGTTATTAAATTAGATTCAAATGATGTTTTAATATAAAATATCTTATGACTACGTGAATAGAGTTGTCAAAACAACTAGTTGTTTGTGAACATTTCGTGTTTAACTCGCTAAGCAAATAAGCCGAACACTAACACTTTTTGCGCACAAAATATAAACAAGTTGAATATGAGCTGAGCTTGACCTCAGTTGTGTTCAGCTCGTTTACACCAAACTTTCCCATTCTTCGTCATGTTAAAGCTCACTCTAACATTCATCCAAATCAATTTTCTAACATGCATGGACAACTTTTTTCGAAATATATTATATCTAATTTTAAAATTAATTTTCATAAACATGAAATTTTATAGTTTAAATTAAATTTACTAAATTAAATTTTATTCTTGCATAATTTGTGCGATAAATAATAATAGAAAATATATTATATTAATAATTAATTAAATATAAAAGAGTGTTGAATACTGACTTATCTTTTTTTTTTTTTTTCATAGTGTTGAATACTGACTTATCTTTTTTTTTTTTTTTTACGTCATGTCCACATATATAGTGTTGTGTCATGTCTCCGATATCCATGTTTCATAAGTTGAACCAAACACAGTAAATAATACAGAACAAAAATCAATTGCATCGTCTAATAGTCCTTAATAAAACAAAAAAAAAAAAAACATGTTCATTATCAAAAAATGCGAGCGTGCCCTACACAAATAATATTATGTATAAGTATGAAAGCCAATCAGATTCAAGCAATTAAAAATTTATCGTGGCGATCAAAATCCTCAGTGTTGAGTGTTGACACGTAACTCTGTATTTGTTTTACAACATATATGAATATATATATAGATATGTATTCGACACGTAATTACCCTTGAAGTATAAGCTTTCCCGGAAATGCCGCCTGGAAAGTTGGCGAACAAGTAAGGCAAAGCACCCAATCTTCTTCCCGACACGCTTCCCTACTCAGCCGACCGCGAGATATATATATGTACAGATAGATTATTAAAGTCATAAAAAGAGGGAGAGGAAGAGACCAAGAGATACATTCAAAATCAAATAATACCACCATAGATCCTAAACACCTCCATTCCAATATCTTCGGTGTTCAACATGGGCTCTGCAGCGGCTCTGCTGCCTACTCCCACATGGCGGCATCAGCCTACTTCTTCTCCCCCACGCCGCCACTCCGTCGGCAGCCACCGTTTCCATCCCGGCCAGCAGCGCATTTTTCCGGCGAGTTTTTAGCCCCATCGATGTTTTTCTCCCACTGACACATGGGATTTGTTTAGTATAAAAATAAAAAATAATTTGTTTCAGGTTGCTCGGCTGTTCGGGCCGGCCATCTTCGAGGCCTCTAAGCTGAAGGTTATGTTCCTCGGAGTGGACGACCGGAAGCATCCGGAGAAGCTTCCGCGCACTTATACTCTCACCCACAGCGACGTCACAGCCTGCCTAACCCTCGCCATATCCCAAACCATCAACTGGGCACAGGTAATCAAACTTCTTAAATCTTCACTTTAAATCTTTTTAATTATTTTCAATCCGATTTTTTTTGCTATATTTTTTTAGAGATTCGAAGCATTAGGATTAAACAAATTTATCCAAACAATACTAAATAATTGAAAACAGGTTTCAGAATCCAACACTTCCAAAGCTCCTCACTTGATTGGTTGATGTTAGGTCTGCCCAATTATTCCATTATTTGATTGGGGCTGTAGTTTGAAAGGAGCATTTGTTTTAATGCTAAATTTCTTTTTTTTTTTAAAGAAAAATCTCCAAGTAGAATCAAAACAGTTTAAAAAAAAAAACATTAGTTTCCTACATATGGAGTCAGAATCAATGAAATTTACATAAAACGGTGGATTAATTAAGATACAATCAAGCAAATCATAGCGAGGATTTCATAATAAATCCTTAGCTATTTAACGCAAAAATATGAAAGGAGTTGATACATATTCTAAATGGTTTGAATTCGAAATTGCGTTTAACTTGCAGCTGCAGGGATGGTACCACAAGCTGCAGCGAGACGAGGTGGTGGCCGAATGGAGAAAGGTTCGAGGAAAGATGTCGCTGCACCCCCCTGCCACATCAGCGGCGGCCACTTTCTCCTTGACTTCCTCGCCAACCTCCGCCACCACATCTTCTCGAGGGAACTTCCGGTGGTTCTCAAGGCCTTCGTCCACGGCGACGGCGGACTTTTCAGGACCTACCCCGATCTCGAGGATGCCCTCGTCTGGGTCTACTTCCACTCCAACTCCCCCGAACTCCACAGCGTAGAGTGCTGGGGCCCGCTCCGTGAGGCTGCCGAGATAGGCCGCCCAGAAAGGCCAGATTCGGGAGACATTGGAGAGGCCGACAAAAGTTGGCCTACACCGCACCTGCGCTGCGAGACTGCCTGCGACTGCTGCTTTCCGGCACATACGTTGATTCCGTGGCCAACCGCCGAGATGAAGGCGGAGGAGCAGCTGCAGCAGTAGCTCGAATCCGAAGCGTGCCACGTTTATCATTCAATACATACTATGATTATACAATTTCATAATTTGATTGAATTCATACATTGCATTGGATTCTAAATCTGTACATAGAAAATATGTTTAGAAAAATCGAAGAGACAGTATTAAATTAATTTACGCATTTTTCTTATGCTATGTGGAATTGACAGTTAACTGCTAATTTGATTCGTCCTCCACCCCTCCCTAAAAGTCATATTTAAATGATAAATAATTTTTAAAAAAGAAAAACATGTTACTGCAAGCATATATAAAATATTGCTGTGTGTCGGTTATATATAAAAATATATTTAAAATTTTGAAAAAGCTATGACGTGCAAAGGACAACGCCGCTAAGTATAAAAGCGTTTGAACAATAAGGCGTATAGATTGTAAAAGAGGTGCATTCTTGAAGTTTCTCGCGGGGCGATTGAAATGGATGAGGACGGTTCGGACTTTGGGCCTACCAGGAGTTTGAGAAGCGTACGCACTCGCTAAAATTGGGCCCCGCAAACCACCCAACTTTCTCTGGATTCTGGGGCACTACGCCATTCACAACCGTCCTCGCTTTCATCCATCGTACATTCTTATCGTATCCATACGTAAAACTATATCCGGTTGCGTTGCGTGGCTAATTTTACTTCCTTTGCTCCGGTCCAGCAATTCAACCACTGCCTATTTATTTCTTTTCTTTTTATTCATGTTAACCAGTAACTCCAGAATTTTGCAGCGTGTGTGTGTGTACTATAAAATGCATGCACGAATATACATGTCATGAGTCTCCATATGATTAAATAGAGAATTTGATAGGAAGGAGAAGATCAACATCATATAACCCAATCGACCGAAACATCGATCGAATGATCACAGCCTTGGTCGAGCAAACCTGATCTCTATAAGAAGATATGACTGCACATCACAGCCGACTTACATACTCATCTGACATATGACTGATATAACCGGCTGACTTCAAGGCTTCGGGCAATCGACTAGACGCCGTTGTTTATTATTCATTATTATGTAATTTGAATTTAATTATTTCGTCAATCATGAAAACTGCTCTTTTTTTATATGTACTTGTATTTAGAGACTCTTACAAATAGAAAGTCATGACATCAATAAAGAAATTTTTTTTTGGATTTGTTCACTTTTGGAGACACTTAAAAGATTCTTTTATATTCTCTAACTCTCTTTCTCTTTCTCTTTCTCTCTAATCTCAAATAGTGTTTCACAAGAAACAATCTAGGATTCAACAATATACATATTGCAAACCATTAAACTTGAAACCCATTGTAAAATACAGGTGCAAAAAATATTTTAAAAATCAAATAAATTTCAAAGACCCAAAAAGCACCCCTCATCAAAATATCCAAAAAAATACCACATCAAGCCCAAAACAAAAATGAATCAAAATAAATCAATTCAACCTAGACCAACATCACCTCTTACTCCTCATCCATTGCATCAATCCAATCCTAAAACCTAAACCTTAAACATTAATTTTGTCCAACAAAATCCAAGCATCCATTAATCCAATAAATTCAAAAAGTTTGGGGGTTATGGAACGATATATTTTGTTTGCTAACTGAAGAATTCTCCCGCGGTGATTATCATTGATTGAGCCAACCTAAAGGACAAATTTGCCCCAATAACCTTAAAAAAGGGATGGGGCATTGAAGCATATATGATTAGAAAATCAAATTCTAATTCCACACATCAAAACATCTAAACCGAGAAAATTCTCTACTCAAAGAATTTCAGCGCACCAAACACCATCCAAGAATAAAAACACCCCCCATAATCGGAATTCCTCATATGTTTATAATCACGTGCTTATCACCATTCAAAAGTAAAATAAGAAAGTAGCTCCCCAATTTTTTGGAACACCGTAGGAACTGATTAGATATGACGGCCGTTGAAATTAATTATATAGTTCATAAATTTAGTAAGAAAAAACAAATTTGAAGTTGGTTTCTATATTCAATTCAAACCTTGGAAGTTAATTCAATGAAGTCAGTTATATTTTGGAATCAAATTTTAGCAAATATTCTCCAAATAATTCAGTCAAATCAAAGAATGCGTTACCAAAGCCAATCTAACCAGATATCATCCACAGCGTTCGGGCTCTCAATCCACATTGTTTGGTAGGTCAAGTCAGGTTCAGGCTCGAGAAAAATTTCTCTTTAAGAAAGAATTATCAAAATAAAACAGTTAGTTAAGTATAAAAAGCAATTGTAATTATCGTGGCTAGTAAAGTTATGCAGACAACACATTAGAATTGTAAATAGTGCATATTTAGCACGTTTAAAGTGCAAATATCTTCACGTCAACGTAAGGCCTCTGTCACTATTTCAGCTACCAGTCCCAAATACATACGAGGAGTGCATCTCATGTGGAACTTCCACGACAAGCTGAAAAGTGTATCTCTTATTACACGATTTTAAATAGGAAGAAGATTAACTTATATGCAACTCAATTCTTATGTATTCGCATATATAACATCTAAGCTTCTATTTCTACATACATACCACCTTTTGCAGCAAAAAAAAATGCGTTTCACATTTTAAAAGATAAAGTGGGGATAATTTTTATGAGATATGAAATATTTGGGTGGTATGAATCTAAAATGTAAAATTTAGATGTTATATGTGTAAATTCATAGGAACTTAGTGGTATGATGTTAATGCACCTTTTAAATAATTGGTCAATAAAATATAATTGGTTGTTCTCTTTAGTAGCAAATCAAGCATTTATCTGAGCTCCCATCTAATTTATATTACTTTTAAGATTAGAATGTAATGATCTATTTGCATCCGGCATAATTTTTTCATTGTAAAGTTTGAAATTAAACCTCTTACGAGCCTAGATTTTTTCCATTACAAATCTATTCCACTTGAGGGCTTTAAAAGCTTCACAAACATTGTTTGGATCTATATTTTACCACATGCCAGAAAAGCATGAATTCTAAGTCAGAGCACTCTAAATTTTGAGTTGGCATAAAGATATCTCTCAGAGTCAGCTTGCACACTAAACCGTCAAACTGTTTTTTGTGAAGACCCTTTGTTAGAATATTCGCTGCTTGGTCGTTAGAAGGAACATACACCATGCAGATATCTTCTCCGTCAATTTTTTTCTTTGATGAAATGTCTGTCTATCTCTATGTGCTTTGTTCTATCATGAAAGATAGGATTGTGGGCGATGACGATGACAGACTTATTATCACAGTACACCTTTATTAGTGCGGACTATGAATTTTTAACTCATTGAGAATTCTTCTAATCCATAGAACTTCACATATCCCATGAGCCACAAATTTGAATTCAGCTTCAGCACTGCTTCTTGTCACAACACTTTGTTTCTTACTCCTCCAGGTTACTAAATTTCCTCCTAGAAAAGTGCAGTACCCTAAGGTTGACCTTATATATGTAACCCTCCCAGCCCAATCTGCATTTGTAAATGCTTCTATCTGTAAGTGCTTATTTTTCTTGAACAGTAGTCCTCTTCCGCGAAGTGCTCATTTTTCTTGAACAGTAGTCCTCTTCCGCACGTTCCTTTCAGATACCTAAGCATCCAATAGACAACATCCAAGTGATGAGTATTTGGAGTGTCACCATAAACTGACTTACCATGCCAACAACAAAGGCTATATTAGGACGAGTGTTTGACAAGTAGACTAGTCTTCCCACTAGTCTCTGATATTGTTATTTGTTAACACTATCTATTTTGTTTGTCACTTGAAAGTATTTTACATTTCTCAGATTTTTAATATTGAATTTTGTGGAAAATCTTTCTTTCAATGTCTCAATTTCCCTAGCATTATTTCCTGTAAGGATAATATCATCGACATAGACAATGAGTATAACGAGTTTACCAGTTTCTGAAAGTTTGTAGAACATAGTATGATCAACTTGACTCTGAGCGTATCCATATTTTGTAATCACCTTTCCAAACCTCTCAAACCAGGCGCGAGGAGATTGCTTGAGTCCATACAAAGATTTCTTCAATCTGCACACTTTGTCTTCTCCAAACTTCTTCCCAAATCCTGATGAAAGATTCATGAATACCTCCTCTAATTCACCGTTTAGAAAAACATTTTTTACGTCGACCTGATGCAAGGGCCAATCACAGTTTGCTGCTATGGACAGTAGGACACAAATGGAATTGATCATGGGTATCAGAGCGAATGTCTCATGATAGTCAATTCTGTGAGTTTGAGTGAATCATTTTGCTACTAATCTTGCTTTATATCTTTCGACACGACACTCCCATCAGCTTTGACGTTAGTAGTGAAGACCCATTTACACCAAACAATAGACTTTTCTCTTAGTAGAGTGATAACTTCCCATGTTCTATTTTTCAAAAGAACAACCATCTCTTCCTTTACTACCATTCTCCAATTTGGATTACTAAGAGCTTCCTGTATTGTTCTGGTTCAGACAGACTAGAGATTTTTGACAAAAAAGTTTGATGTTTGTGCGAGATTTTTTGTAGGAAAGATATTTCGAAATGAGATATTTGGTAGTACAAGAAAGTGTTCATTTTCTAAAGGCTATAGAAAGATCCAGATTCATAAACTTCGAATCTTGAGTTTCTGTTGGTAAAAAAAAAAAAAAGGTCAGGATTGGAACTTACCTAAGTTTCTTGAGAACTATCATTTGACTCTTCAGATTGGGATGGAACTAAAGTCATAAATCCCCTATTCCCTGATATTGCTTTGACTTTTGAAGGTCCCCAAACATCATTATGGATCATGAAAAAAAGTTTTGAAGGATAGTATAGTTTTGGAGCAAAATTTATGCGATGACTTTTTTGCCAAATAACACGTTTCACATTGAAGTAAAGCACAATTAACACCCTTAAACAAATTAGAAAATAAATGTCTTTAACAAGAAAAACTTGGATGGCCTAGTCTAAGATGCAATTCCATTATTTTTTCTACTGCAGGGTTCAAACCCATACTGCTGTAAGCTTGAACCTTTTTTCAATAGACACAGTCTCCTCAAAGTAGTAAAGTCCTATCGTTTTAGCTCTCCCAATTATCATCCCCGACTTCTGGTCCTAAAAAACCCAAGAAGATTCACAGAAAATTACATATTAGTTAGAATCCTTTGAAACTTTGCTGACGAATATAAGGTTACATTTGAGTTTTTGAACATGAAGTCAGACTTAAGATCTATACTCTTGGACAAGTTAA